GCAAATGTACAACGTTTCGACAAATAGTACAAATTTATCAATCAATATAAAAAACAAAACAGATTTATCAATTAATAATGGCTGGAGACGGCTTAAATGGGTAATGAAGAAAAACTTTAATATAAGCTTAACATGACAGCAAATGTACAACGTTTCGACAAATAGTACAAATTTATCAATCAATATAACAAAACAGCACATATTTGTCAATCAAAATAAAAAATAGTACAAATTTATCAAATGTACAACGTTTCGACAAATAGTACAAATTTATCAATCAATATAACAAAACAGTACATATTTGTCAATCAAAATAAAAAATAGTACAAATTTAGCAAATGTACAACGTTTCGACAAGGTTTTGTCATCATCAACTCCTGATGATGACAAAACCTTGTCGAAACGTTGTACATTTGCTGTCATGTTAAGCTTATATTAAAGTTTTTCTTCATTACCCATTTAAGCCGTCTCCAGCCATTATTAGTCTCAAAGTGGGTTCCTCGTCATCGAATTATTGAACATTTGTTTTTTTTCAATGAATAACTTAATTGGGATTAAACTGAACTTAACTAAAATAGCTTTATTCTTTGAAACATTTACCATTCTTGTGTTTTAATACACATTACTAATGTTGCATAATCAGGGGACACCGTTACAGTAAACTATTAACTATTTGATGATTCAGCCTGTTCTCTCAGAATACCTCCATGACTAATACACCTCCCCCCCCCTTGCGATTATTATTGGCTGACCACCGTCCAGCTGCTGGGCTCCTCCGCCTCCAGTGGTCAGAATGCATGTGTTAATTCCACGAGCACTGAGTGAGCCGGGCCAACAGTTGTTCAGGAAGTAAAGTGTGTTGCTACGATATCACGTGCCGCTGAATAATAGGACTGTCTAAGTTGTTAGTCTGTTCGTGTTTAGCAATATTGTCTGCCACTGTAGACTTTGGTACTTTAGTGTTTGTTCATCTGTGGTGGAAGCTGAACCCTCTAAGTTTCCACATCGCTGATAAACTATGTTGACCAGTTGTCGATATGGGAACATTGCCCAGTGTCCCGTATCTCAAACTCCTCACCCTTCAACTGACCACTCTTCGATAGGGCTGACCAACTTTCCCTTCAATAACGTGACACCCGAGCGATGTTACAATTTTTCCCCGATTATGGTGGAACATTGGGCCGGCATTAAAGCAGACATGACGCCGGTGTCTCTAGGTAAGTTGACACTTAACAAGATATTTAGTCTAGTTATTACTGATATTTTTAGAACATGCTGTTCCGAGATTTGAAGGATTCGAATAAATTTAAATTCATTTTTTTTATAATCAAAATCCAGCTTGGACTTTAAGAAACCGGTCTTCACTGTTTAAATATTTCAGGTACTATTACAGCTCCCAAAAACTTTTATACTGTACTAAAAAACCAACAACAAAATAATTTTAAAAAACAGAAGAAAAAATATTACTTTGATAGTTCGTCAGTTAATTGGTTTGTTAAACCTAACCTCATGTTATTGGCTTATATATAATATAGTTATTCTTCTGATATCTACAGTCCTCCTTTGGATCTTATTCTTCAGTAACCACTATGGTTACTTACACAGTTAAACACATCCAGATTCACAATTGTAGTTCTCAGGTAACATATCGAGCGTTTTGTAAGCACTGTTACAAACAACACAACTGCAACTTCATTACTGTACTGGGTTCAGTACACTTGCACTTGGTCCGCAGATATCTGACAAACAGACATAACATCTTTTATACTTCAAATGTAGCGATACAGTTATCACTCGATACATTCATTTCCACTTGTTCTTCTTCGCTGATACTTTACAAGCGTTTCTATTTCATGATTATCACTCAGTACGTACACTTCGACTTCTCCTTGTCCGCTAATATCTCACGAACATACTTACAGCTTTTATATTCAATGATTTAGTGATACAATTATTTGTTATTATTACTTACATTGACTCAATACATCACTTCCACTAGTCCTTGTCCGCTAATATCTCACGAACATACTTACAAAGTGGAAGTGATGTATTGAGTCAATGTAAGTAATAATAACAAATAATTGTATCGCTAAATTATTGAATATAAAAATTGTAAGTATGTTCGTGAGATATTAGCAGACAAGGACTAGTGGAAGTGATGTATTGAGTCAATGTAAGTAATAATAACAAATAATTGTAACGCTAAATTATTGAATATAAAAGTGTCCTTGTCTGCTAATATTTCACGAACATACTTACACCTTTTATATTTCAAAATGTAGCTATACAGTATTCACTCATACATTCGTATCGGCTTGTTCTTGTTCGTGATATAACACGAACGTATGCATAGCTTTGATATTTCATAACGTATAGATGATATTATCATTCAGTACTTTAATTTTGAGATGCTCTTGTCCGCTAATATCTCACGAAAATACACGTAACTTTAATATTTCAAAATGTAGCAATACAGTTATCACCCAGACTCAGTATATTCATTTTGATATCTCACGAAAATACATATAGCTTTTATATTTCATAACGCAGTGATTCAGTTATTACTAAGTTCGTACTATCTAACTTTGACTTAATTAACAATTACTTGCTTGTCCGACAATAACTCACGGACACGCCTATAGGTCTTATATTTCAAAATGTAGCGATAGAGTTATACTTAGACTGACTCAGTATATCCACCTCTACTTGTTCATGTCCGCTCATATCTCAAGATCATACATATAGATTTTATATTTCATAATGTAGAGATACAATTATTACTTAGACTGTCTCAGTACATCCACTTTTGCTTGTTTTTCTCCTCTGATATCTCAAGATCATACATATAGCTTTTATATATTATAATGTAGCGATTCCATTATCATACACTACATTCAATTGGAGTTGCTCTTGTACGCTGACGTCTCACGAACATACATATAACTTTTATATCTCATAATATAGCGAAACAATTACCATTCAATACGTACATACCGACTTGCTCTTATCCGCTGATATGACGAATCTACATAGAATTTTCATTTGTCATAATGTAGAGATTCAGTTATCACTCAGACTGACTCAGTACATTCTTTGACTTGTTCTTCTTCGCTGATATCCACGAACATTCATGTAACTTTCAGTTGTCACTTAGACTTGTTCTTCTTCGCTGATATCCACGAACATACATGTAACTTTCAGCTGTCACTTAGACTTGTTCTTCCTCGCTGATATCTCACGAATGTACATATAACTTTCAGTTGTTACTTAGACTTGTTCTTCCTCGCTGATATTCCACGAACTTACATATAACTTTCAGTTGTCACTTAGACTTGTTCTTCCTCGCTGATATCTCACGAACATATATATAACTTTCAGTTGTCACTTAGACTTGTTCTTCCTCGCTGATATCTCACGAACATATATATAACTTTCAGCTGTCACTTAGACTTGTTCTTCCTCGCTGATATCCCACGAACTTACATATAACTTTCAGTTGTCACTTAGACTTGTTCTTCCTCGCTGATATCTCACGAACATACATAAAACTTTCCGCTGTCACTTAGACTTGTTCTTCCTCGCTGATATCCCACGAACTTACATATAACTTTCAGTTGTCACTTAGACTTGTTCTTCCTCGCTGATATCTCACGAACATATATATAACTTTCAGCTGTCACTTATACTTGTTCTTCTTCGTTGATGTCTCACGAACTTACATATAACTTTCAGTTGTCACTTAGACTTGTTCTTCCTCGCTGATATCTCACGAACATACATAAAACTTTCAGCTGTCACTTATACTTGTTCTTCTTCGTTGATGTCTCACGAACTTACATATAACTTTCAGTTGTCACTTAGACTTGTTCTTCTTCGCTGATATGTCACGAACATACATATAACTTTCAGCTGTCACTTAGACTTGTTCTTCCTCGCTGATATCTCACGAACATGGATATTACCTTTATATTTCAAAATGTAGCGATACAGTTATCACTCAGTATATTCATTTTAAATTGTTCTTGTCTGCTGATATCTTATAAACATACACATAGCTTTCATATATCATAATATAGAGATTCGGTTATTACTCAGACTGACTCACTACCCTCACTTCGACTTATTCTTGTCCGCTGATATGTCACGAACTTATATATAGCTGTTATATTTCATGATGTATAGATAAAGTTATCACTCACTACATTCATTTCGACTTGTTCTCGTCCGTTTATATCTCACGAACATATATATGAATTATTTCTTTTTTTTTGTAATGTACAGATACCGTTATCACTGAATGTATCACGTGAACTTGTCCTTGCCTGTTGATATCCCTTGAACTTACTGTAGGTTTTATATTTCAAAATGTAGAGATACAATTATTTCTTATAATGACTTAGACTGGCTCAATACATTCACTTAGACTCGCTCCACTTCGATGATATCTCACGAATATACATATAACTTTCAGTTGTCACTTAGACTTGTTCTTCCTCGCTGATATCCCACGAACATACATATAACTTTCAGTTGTCACTTAGACTCGCTCCACTTCGATGATATCTCACGAACATACATATAACTTTCAGTTGGCACTTAGACTCGCTCCACTTCGATGATATCTCACGAACATACATATAACTTTCAGTTGGCACTTAGACTCGCTCCA